AACATATGTATTTACACGGCGTGCTTCGACTTCGGAAAGCTCCGGGTGGGTCGCCGCCAGACCTCAGACCCTAAACCCCATGACCTCAAACCCTAAAGCCCTAAAGCCCTAAACCCTAACATCCTAAACCCTAAACCCTAAAACCCTAAAACCCTAAAGCCCCGAAGCCCTAAAGCCCTCAACCCTAACACCGAAACCCGAAACCCCGAAGCCGACCATGAACCCTGAACCCTAAAAACCCTTGTCATCCCGAGTTGTCCAAGAACTTGGGAGGAAGACTGTTTTGGCTTCAGGGTTTATGGTTTAGGGCCTCAGAGTAAGTGCCTTGTGAAGGGTTCAAGGTTGGCGTTTAAGACTGAGGGTTTAGGGCCAGGGGCATTGGTTTAGACGATTTCTGTTGCAATTCGCTAGAACTTTCACACTCAGCATTTCAATGAAGCTCGGTAGTAATTGTTGCTTGTATCTTGGACCTTAAAGTCTAGGGTACGCGTTCACTTCTTTGGCTTAGCAGCCGCTCCCTATTCTTCAGGCAATCTTCCTCGATCAGTCTTGAGTTTTCTGGTTTTACATAGTATGGTCCGGGTCATGGCTGATACCCTAAGTCCTCAACCCGCTAAACCCTAAACCCTAAACCCTTTAAGCCCTAAACCCTAAACCCTTTAAGCCCCAAACCCTAAACCCTTAAAGCCCTAAACCCTAAACTTTTTAAGCCCTAAACCCTAAACTCTATCATGAAGCATGAAGTCTTTCACAGAGGAACCTGAACCCTAAACCGCGAAGCTCGAAGCCGCCGTAGCCCCAAGCCTCGTACCTAAACCCGGAAATCCATAGGGTTTAGGGTCTAGGGTTTAGGGAGAACCTTGAACCCTGTGCCCTACATCCTGAAATCCTAAACCCTAAACCCTAAACCCGAAACTCTCAACCCTAAGCCCTAAACCAGTTGGAGCTCCACACCCCGAGCATTTCGAAGCTTCAGATGCTGCAATGGGGCTGACAGAAACCGCGCAGCTCCATGTGGCGAAATCTCTCGCAGAGTTCGGGAAAGGATGAAGACACAGGCATGGAAAGAAATGGTATGGTTTAGGGTTTAGGGTTTAGGGTATTTAGGGTATTTAGGGTATTTAGGGTTTAGGGTTTAGGTATGGCATGCTAGGGGATATGGCTGGCACGCCTGCCACATGTATGCGTACATGTGCTTGTGTGTCTGTGTGTAGCTGTTTTCCTTGAGATTCCCGAACTCCGCGAGTCTCGGCAAACGAGAAGCTGTGGGCTCGGTCCCAAGCTTGCTGGGAGTCCTGCCGCAGGTGGGCTTTATAGGTAGGGGCTTAGGGGTTTGGGGTTTAGGGTTTTGCTTACATCCCTTGTCGAACGAGAAGGCTCTGCTGTTCAGGAGTGTTCCCTGGCACCCCTCCAAGCCCATGCTGAAGAAGGGTTTCGGGGCTTTATGCCCAAATAACCTACTTGAAGGACATCATACCAAGCAGCCCTGATAAGGTGCTTCTTGGGTGCTTGGGATTTAAAGTGTTTCGGTTTGGGATTTAGTCCTGGCGTGACGTTGCAAGCCAGTTGCAAAAGGTAAAACAAAGTTTATTTCTAGGAATCCTGCTAAAGAGGTGTCTTTGTGGTTTTGGGTGGTTACTGGGCTCTAGGACTTGTGGAAGATTATGTCGCAGGGTTTGTTTCTGCGCGTGGGCTTCATGCGCTTTTGACGGGTTGAGGGGTTTGGGGCTTACATGACTATAGAAGCTTGAATAATTTTAAGTGCAGTATTCCCAAAAGTTCCGTATTGCTTATAGTTATAGTATACATGACCTCCAAATCCTGTTCTGATTACCCTAAACCCTAACCCCTAACCCCTAAACCCTAAAACATTATATTAAGGCCTCTCAATGGGGTTTCGCGAGTCGAGAGCTGAGGGTGTTTGTGCAGAGCTAGGGATCGCGACGGCCTGTCTCTGCGTTTTGAGGTGGATTTGAGGTTTAGGGTTTAGGCTTTCAGAGGGGTTTGGAGGTTTAGGTTTGTTTTCGGGTTTTGGTGGGGGTTTAGGTAAGGAAGAGGTTTTTGGGTGGATTGCAGGCATGCCTATCCCTGAATTTCTGCGCAAAAAAGGTTGGTTTAATGTGGAGATTCATGAAGGTCAGCCATGAAAGGGCTTGAGGCTCACGGTTCGTACCGGGCTAGGGTTTAGGGTTTAGGGTTTAAGGCACGTCAGAGAGACCTCGTTCAAAAAAGGGCTATAGCTGGACAACGAGGCCTGTTGCAAGAAAGGGGTGGTTAACAGTTATGGTTCGTACTCCAACGAAGGTCGAAGCATTGCAGAAGGCTCCGATGTTAAAGCCTGCCCTGCATCAGGAAGCCTTGATCCTAGCGTCACGAACTTAGGTTCGGGCTTTTGCTGTTGCGACAGCCCAAACCCACATGGAGTTCTTCCTTTCACGCCAGAGCGCTTAAGTTTGATCTTTAGGGTTTCGCAGCAGGGTTTAGGGTAGAGGTTCTAGTCTAGGGGGAGTTATGGAGGGTTTTTATTTCTACACCGTCGATCGATGTTCTTGACTTTTTGAAGCGCCCTGGGTTACTTTCCAATACAATCAGGGAGTCTTGTGACCTTAGGTGATATCAGCCTGCACCCGCTCTTCGATTTTGTTGACACCAGCGATACCTTCTTTACGGCTTAGGGCCTCGAACCCTAAAGCTCAAGTGGAAGTGGAAGAATCTCGTGTTGGGTTGCGGCGCTCATGTAGACAGCTCTTCCGGACCCTGGAGGCAAGCTTCTAAGCCCTGTAGTGGATCCGATTCCGGTCCATCATCGTATGGAGGACACACAAACATACACACGGAGGAGCAGATTTGGGGCTTTGGGGAGCAACAGGCACGATGTCTGCCTCCAAGGTCTAGAGCTTTCTGACTTATTTGGCATTGGAACAGTGGTCTCAGTACCGGCTTCGTAAGCACTGTAAGTAACCTCTAGGCCAAGTCGTGCTAGTGTCGCATGGACCCTTCGAGTCCTTGGTGTGCTGAAAGACGCCACTGTTCTATAGACTTCCTGACATCGTTTTCAGAGGACAACACGACGACCAAAACTCGGCAAGCATGTCGTGCAATGAGTGGGAAGCAGCGAAAATTCAGTTCTTAAGCAGCTTGCTTTACTATAGCTTAGGGGTACTTGGAAATAATTTTTAATCTTTGGCTACTATAAACCCTAAGAAACAGCTAAAATTATAATTTTTGCTAGGGGTCTAAGTTCAGTATAGATAGGGGGTTTTCAGAAAATGGGGACCCTATAGAACTCAAAGAGTGCAGGATCCGCCAGAGCCTTGTCCCACTAGGCAAGGTAACTCTAATACAGGGGCCCTAACTATTATCTATAAAGTTTTGGGGGCTCCTTATTACCATTATAGTATAATATACCCCAAAACCCTATTCTAATTATTGAGGCCCCTACATGACTCATCTACTCGTCAGAAGCTTAATCGGGAACCCCTATCAAGATCCCATAGAATTACCTGCGCAACCCTTTTTTCAATCCTTTTAACCCTCGAAGACCTTTTCAAGTGACTAGAAAGGATAATCGCCACAAGATCTGAAACGACCCTTACAAAGCACAACTCATATCTACCCTAACCTCCTTTACACCCCGTAAGCCCTAAACCTCTAAACCTCCACATCCTAAACCCTTAGAACTGACCCCGACAGACCGTTATCGGACCCTGGATCTCCTTTTAGGACGGCGGGTGTATTTGGCTTTTCGATGTCTCCGACTTTAGCGGTTTAGCCGTTTCGTGCTAGTGCGCTGCGATGGCGACGGCAACTGCTACTGCTACTGCTGCTGCCACTACTAGTAACGCAAAGTTTTACGACAGTAGCTGCTGCAAAGAAGTATCACTTCCTATTGAGCTGGTATTTGAAATTAACTTCGATCGCTGTAGCGTCGTTTTTTGTTTTTTCGCGGAGTCATATTACTAGAATCTGCGGCAACATCGACGACGACGAGGTCGACGACGACGGCTGCGACTGCGGCTAACATAGTCAGCAGTCCTAGAGCCCTAAATCCCTGAAGGCCTAAATCCCCTAAACCTCTAAACCCTAAACCCTGAACCCCTAAACCTCTAAATCCTAAACCATAAACCCCTAAACCCCTAAACCCTGAACCCTAAACGCCGGACGGTTTGAAAGGAGAGCGCCAACGCTTCAGACCTCGATCTGGCGAAGCTCGGGGAGGGGGTCGGCGACCTCCTGCGCCAGGCAAGTCAGAAGCAAAGAGCTTCAGGGCTTAGGGGTTATAGGTTTTAGGGTTTAGGGTTCAGGGTTTAGGGTTTAGGGTTTAGGGGTTTGGGGTTTAGGGGTTATAGGCTTTTGGGTTTAGGGTTTTAGGGTTTGGGTTCATGGTTTTCAGTCAGGATGATAGGGTTTACGGTTTAAGGATCATGGCGTCAGGAGGCTTGAAAGGGTGACTGTATCGTGTCTTGGTTTGATGCAGGGTTGTGTGCAATCATGCAGTGCTGCTTCCCAGCTGATCAACAAAGTCTGGGTTCAAAAAAAGGATCATGGGGTTTTGGGGCTCAAGGGTTAGAGCTTCGGGCCTACAGGGCTTAAGGTGGCAAGCCGCTCCCGGATTGCACAGCGGCTGCATAGGGTTTTAAAAATTTAATGACTTGTACAGAGAATCATGGCTGTCGATAGATTCTTTTCAGGGGTGTAAGGGGTCTTAGAACTCAGTTTTTTTTTCCAGGGTGTCCTTACAATAAGAAGGGTTTTCCAGGTGTGGGGGTTTAGGGTTTTAGGCTGCACGCACACTCTCTACACACACACACACACACACACGCACCCTAAACCTTAGACCCCCAAACCCCAGACCCTAAACTCTAAACCTTAAACCCCCAAACCCCCAAGCCCCCAGACCCTAAACCTCAAACCCTGAAGCTCTAAACCCCCAAACCCCCGGAGTGTGCGAATCGAAGCCCCCAAAGCCCAAACCTCAGCCGCCTTAAACCTCCGAAGAGGTCGGAAAGTACGACAGCAGCATGAAGTACTTGCAAGAATCAAAGCGGATACGCGAGGATCAAGGTGCCAGCCGGGTCCAGGGTTGAGGCTTATGGGGTTTAAGGGTTTAAGTCCGGTCGAGATCTGACAAGGCCGTTGCAAAAAGGGTTTAGGCTTTAAGCAGAAAAGTCTTCTTGTTTAACACTTACCCCTAAACCCTAAAACCTGGGTTGCCATGCCTGCTTCGTGCGAGTGTGTGAGTCGAAACCCTGGCTTCAGGGTTTAAGGTAGTGTTTAACATGTATACCTACACCCCAAACCCTAAACCCTAACCCAGGGCATGTTGGCTCAGCCTGGTAAGGACTTCTGGCTGTTCTGCAGTTGGGAAAGGGCCCGTAAAACAAAAAAAGCCTGGGTTTAGATGTCGGGTTGGCTTCAGGATTTTGGTTCTTTAGGCCGAGGATAGGGCTTCCGGGACTTCAGGGGTGTGGGTTGCTACCGGGGGGGGTCCTATCAGGGTTGAAGGCAGGGTTTAGGGTGTAAGATTTAGGGTTTAGGGGTTAAGGTAGGGTAGTAGGGTTTAAGGTTTGGGGTTTAGGGTTTGAGATAGGGTTTAGGGTTTAAGGTTGAGGGTTTGGGGTTTAGGTAGGTTTCAGGGTTCTGAGGTTTCGGCTTCAGTTAGAGATTTCCTCCGACTAGGGCTGGCTCTCGCCCAAGAACCCTTGTAGATCCCTTGAAGCAACCCCTGGGCCCTAAACCCTTTAACCCCTAAATCCCAAACCCGAAACCCGAAACCCTAAAACGCTTGAAACCCCCAAACCCTCAAACCCCTGAACCCTTAAACCCGTAACTCCCTAAACCCCTAAACCCTCAAACCCCACACCCAAAACCCCAAACCCTAAACCCTAAGCTGATGATCGGGGCCCCTTGTTCACTGTTTCGGGCTTTCGGAGTTCGAGTCTTGGGATTCCCGGGTGCCCTGACTCCCGGGCTTCTATGGCCGCTGGGGTGAGTTTGTTCGCCTTTCAGACGAGGTCTCCTACTACGACGACTACTACTACT